TATATATATATATATATAGAATAATTTTAATCTCAGTTTAATTTATTCTTTACTGTTTTCTAGTACTTAGAATTAGGAAAAAAGTAAGTTAAATCGAGATTGAAATTAATCTATATGGTAGAAACTGGTATTAATGTACATGATAGAATTATGTTATGTAGACACATACCATTTTGCAAAATTCGGAAAACAATAAACCATGTATACGAGTCGTAACGGAGATGCCGTGGCAATCCATACTTCGTCCAATTTATTTGCAATCGCGACGCCCATTAAAATTGCACAACGTTCCACGCTGACTTTGTTTTTAGATGTGTCCGTTGTTACACCGTAATTCTAAACAAAATCATAAAGTCAGCAATTACATAATATGATTGCTGTAATGTGATATTTAATTGTTTAATATTATGTACACATATACAGGTGGTCTGGTAATAAAATGCTACTTCTCGTGAGCAAGTAAAACGGATTAAACTGAATGAAAAAGTCTCTTGCAACCATTTTGATATATAATATAAATAAATTTTTCCATCATTAGTAAGAAATTAATTAATAAAAATCTACAAATAAGTTTATATACATTATTATAACAAGGCGTTTTAGAAAAAAAGATGTGCATAAAGTTGTTTTACACACTTAATATACCTTTCCGTGTCACTATTATGCAATTATGTAACATTTTCATGTCTCATGTCATAAATTTCCTACACAAACATCCAGATACAGATAAGCACTTTTATGACACGTACCTCGCCAGATTTCTCCGTGAAACTCTTGGCTAGAAATTCGGTCTGTACCGGACCTGGGCAAACCATTGTCATGCTGATATTATTATCGGGATGTTCCAAGAAGAACGGTCTGAAATAACCCTATAAAAGTATATAGTAAAGCATTTTATGAAGTTGCGACTAATTTTTTCAACGAAAGAAAATAATATCTTAAAACTGTTTACATGTAAGGCATGTTTGGTGCCGCAGTAGGTCGCCGACATCGGTGCGGGTACAATTCCTGCTAAACTCGAAGTATTAACGATTTGGCCTTCGCCTACTTTCAAAAAGTGTTTCACTACTAATCTGCTCAAGGACAAGATGGAGAATACATTCAAGTTGAACATTTCTTTATCAACTGCTATCTCAATGTTTTCCCATTTTGCTCTTTGACTACGGCCAGCATTATTGACGAGTATGTCTAACTAAACATAGAAACATATCCTTGGTGAAATTTTTTCTCAGAATTTTTCACAAAATTTTTCTGTGAATTTCTGAATAATTTTATATAAAATTTCTCAGATTTTTTAATACAAATTGAAACACTTCAAGAATATTCCAATTTGTATAATTGTCTCTCTGGTGGAAAAATTTTGCTGAAATTTTGCGGAAGTTTTACTGAAAGTGATATTTTAGCGAAATTTCATTTTTATTTGATTAAATTAAATTGCTAAATTATTTATTTGATTGTTTTCTCAGTGTATGAACTCTGAAATATTTGTATATTTCTAAGATTTCTCATTCTATAATTTCTGATGAAATCTTGCAAAATAAGAAATCTTAGAACATTTCAGTATTCACATATATGAAAGATTCTAAGAAAAGATGTAGATTTTCTTAGTATTTCTGACAAGTATTTGTATAAAAATTTTCAGGAAAATTTTCATCACAGAAATAATAAGATTTCGATTAAAACACATCGATAATAAATAATAATAAGAGCGATAAATATAACAGAGGCATGCAATAGGATTTTAATTAAAAGATTGATGATTTTTATTAACACAAAAAATATAGTATGCTAAAATTGCTAAATCTACCTTGCCGAATTTATTGATTACATGTTCGAATGCTTTCTCGTGTGAATCCAAATCGAGCACATCCATAGAATAAACTTCCACATCATTGTCGGTTAAGTTTCTGTTCTCTGCAAACGACCATTTATGAAAGAAAAGACCCTGCGTACAATAGAAGGAATAAGAAATTAGGAATAAAGAATAAATGATTTTAATCTATCAAAAGTCAGATACATCGGAACACATGGTTTCTGATAGGTTGAAATCGTTTATTCTTTATTCCTAATTCCTTATTCCTTCTATTGTGCGCAGGGTCAAAATAATGGCGTTCAAGTTGACAAAGCGGCTAACTTGCTCGCCGAACAAATGAGCATAATTGATTGTTACTTATAGATCCAACCAATCATATTCAATCGCTCGGTAAGTATGCCGCTTTGCCATCTTGAATTCGCCCAATAATAGTGAGTTAACGATATTAACTTAATGTAATTCTATTTAGAACTGTCGAAAGAGATCATATCAATTAATTAAAACAATTGACGAAGATCATTAACATAGCGCGGGAAAAATCTTTTACAGAAGTTTGCGAGACGCGAGTATGTCAATTACCTTCCAAACACGTTTTCTTCACTCGTTCTAATTCAGTGACTCTCCGAGCGGACAAGATTAATTTGCAGCCCGCTTTGGCTAACACGTAAGCTAAATATTCTCCGATACCGGAAGATGCACCTGTTATCCATACTGTCTTGCCTTTCAACGAAGCTATAGTAACGAAAATATGTTCGTTTATTCACTCTTTTTTTTGAATGATTTATAATTTGTGACAGATTTCAAGAGAACTACTTGTAATAAAAAAATAGACAACAAATTAAATTATACAATAATAATATAATAAAAATTACAATAATTTTTATTATGTTAATATTTATTGTACATTTTTAATTAGAATTAGATTGTTGAATAAATAATGATATAAAGATTCTCTTCAGTCTAGTGATACATAAAAATTTATTAAGAAACAAACAAAAGTAACATACAATTATATTATATATTATCTTTACAGCCTATATTTTGCATTTCGATAGTTTTTTTCTATAAATAGAAATAACATTGTTGGATGTTTCATGTTTATTTATTTATCAACAAATTGTATGTAAATTTTTATTTACTGGACCGAGGAAAATTTTCATAGATAAACAAATAGACTTTGCTCGTATTTATGCGATTTTATTTGCGACTGACGAACAGTTGGCTTCGTTGCTATTTTTTTAGGATTGTGCAAAAATATACTTACATACGGGTTTACCGTACTTTTCCTTAAAAGCGAGCAGTATGTCGCAATCCAAGAAGGAGGGAAGAATGAGATAAACGGAATAGTAGATTACGAATAAGAGTCCGATAATTACGAATAAATCCATACTTAATTACACTTATCTACGGTGATACGAAAATTCTGCAAACAAAATGTTGACACTGTTATCAAACTTATACATATGAACACATCTATATAATTTTGTTTTCTTATGTAGTTACATTTCGGTTTCATAAATTTTTACGCGTTACAATTCCTTTCATTATTTATAAAAAAAAATCGGGATTTAAAGGTTTGAAAATCTTTTGAACTAAATATTGGATAAGAGAGAGAAAGAATCATTCTTTTATTTTATTTTAAAATTATAGAATTATATGGTTTTTTTATTCATTTTTCCTTAATTTTTTATTTGATAAATAATTTCTTTTTCAAATGAAAAGCAGAAAAAAATTAATGACGTAAATCACATTTTTTATTTTCATTGAAATTAATATAATTACAATTTACATTACTATTTCCAAAAAAAAAAAACAGGCAACAAAATAACGAGATAGAAACATCTTAATTTCTGAAGAGAAGAAATTAGCATTAAATATGGACAAGCTGAAGTCATTATTGAATTTACTGGATTTCGAGGACTTAGCAATGAGAGACTGGTGTTGCAACTACTCACGAAGCATGGTCATCAACAATTACATTACATCACAAGTACAAATTGAATCTTCGTAACATACTCAATTACAGGCAGAGCAATTATTATAAGCTAGTTTTCATATAATTATAACCAGGATTGGCAAAAGTAATGCGTTATTTATAACGTCATTACCGTTACAAGTTTTTTTTTAGTAACATTTGAATAACGACGTTACATTTTTCTTCTGAATAACGTTTATGATAACACAGTTAAAGTTTTGGGATAATGTAACGCGCGCGATTAACAATAAGGTAACGATTTCACTACTGTTATTGTTACTTTATTTCTATTTTATGTAAAAATTTCAATAACTAGAGCGTATATATACAGTGAGTGCAAAATGTATTCGTACAGAGAAAATATTTTTTAAAAGAACTTTATTTTTAAACATTATCGAGCGAGAAATGAATCATCGAATTGATGTTGAATCAACATCGATACGATGATTTCAATACCAATTTGACGTCGATTCGACGTTTAATTGACGATCATTTCTTGCTGTATAATTAACAATTTATTCATAAAGAATAAAATAAATTGTATGTTTCTCAAAATTATATATACTAAAAAGATATATATTTTAATTATAGAAAATATATCATCTGAAAAATAAGCGGAAATTAAAAATTGTATTATTTGAATGTTCAAAAAGTATTTGTACAGTCGAAAATTTTAGCTTTTAAAATCAAGAATATATGCGAAGCTCATTTGTCAATGTAAGAATAAAATGTACTCATTGTATAAAATTGCTAATTATAATATTTATTTCTTACAAATAAGACTTTTTTTATAAAAAATTTTCTTGTACGAATACTTTTTGTTCTCACTATACATATATGTATACATATACATATTTATCAGTCTTTTAGTTTTTTCCTCTACTAAATATAGAATTCTAATATCTTTTTTATAGTTATCGCAAGAATTTGCATATAGTGTTTTTCATTGGCAGAACTAATGTGCATTCAGTGTGCTTTAAAGCCGCTACATAATCGACGTAAAGATGTATGATTAATAAAAATATAGAAACGAGTTAAACTGCGAAATCCTCAGTACATTTTATTATGTTACATATAATAAAATATACTTTAGGTATTGTATTTTATCCTCTCAGATATCTCATTTTTACATTTAGATTAGAGTTGTGTACAACGGCTTTGACGTGTACAAGTTCTGTCAAATGAAATCGCTATATAATATTTTATTAGTATCAAGAAAAAAAATAATGACTCGTTTTGAGTGACGGTAACAGTAACGAGTTACTTTTTAGGAAAAAGAACGGTAATGGTAACGAGAGAGTTATTTTTATGAGATAACGTTGCAAATCTTGATTATAACCGATAATTATGCTGACAGGCGTTATGCTAGATTTAGAGTGCCTCAAATCCGAGAAATTGTAAAATAACTGCAAGTTGGAGAATTTCCTTTTTGAGAAAAAATAGAGTGAGCTTCATTCAATGTAATCGAAAACAAGGAAGCAATAAATTTAATCTGAAAACTGATCTTTTTTGAGAAAGAATATTATTACTGTTTTAAAAAAAGATCTAAATTGTATAAAAAGGGAGAAATCTTTTCTAATTCGTTATATATAATTCCGGGAAATCGATATGAAAAAAGAGGAAGAGCGTTCCTTAGTAACAAGTTGGATTG